ATACCAAAACGTGGACCTTCACAGATAATTTTCTGTCTTAGGCTGTAGTATCGAGCTTCAAATGCCAAATTTAAAACAATTTCGGTTAATAATGTCGCTGAAATCAACAAAGTACCGAATATCGGGAGGACGTGGACCTACATGGCCCATTTGCAATACCAAAAGTCCTGCAGACATAATATACCTTTGAGTAAAATTTTATCAATCTACTTCATTTTGTTCGGAAGCTAGAGTGATTTCCACAGATGAACGGGCATCGCTAAATCGACAGAGAATTTAATGCTGATCAATAATATATATATTTGTGGGGTGTTACAAACGGAATGACAAACTTAATATACCCTCCATACTATGGTGGTTGGTATAAAAGCACTACAAATGTACATTCGAAAATAGTAAGTCAAATTGAAAAAAATCATGCAAAATAAAACATTACTTGAACATTCCAAAAGTCAAACAGAAAATTTATCATTTTACGAGATTTTGTTTTTTTGGATTTTATTCTTTTCTGCCAAGAGACAATTCCGAGTTTGTCTGAAACGTTAAAATCAGACCAGCGGTTTTTGAGTTTTAAGCGTAGTAATTAACGCAACTTTCTTTAATATATATAGATTTAAGTTGTATATTTTCAAAGTAATTGTTATTCATTTGATTTAAAATTTCCCCGCGGGTCATTTTACACCCCTCCGTTACATTTTGTCCATTACCCATTTATACGTCTTTGTTTACTTCGTAGACACAGACAATTGTAGTAACGAAATGTAAGGAGTAGCTTTTTAAACTCCGCTTTGCGATATTCTAGCTTTTTTAATTCGCTACTAGCTCATTGGTTCACGACCAGAAAACATCAGCAAACCCTACACCCTGTAAAAAAGGCAATATAATTATTTTACGAACAATCTATATATATAACAAGTTAAAAAGTACTAAGTTCGGCCGGGCCGAACTTTTAATAACCTCCACCATTTGCAACGAATTTGGAAATTTTTAAAAAATAAAATCCTTAAAAAATTTTGTTAAAATTTTAAAAATACCGAATATAGCCGTCATATTGGGGTCTATACGACGTGGACATACATAGGCATTGCTTGTCATAAGCCATTACCATATTCAAATTGGAAACTTGAAATAAACGGTAAATAATGTAGCTAAAATCATCAAAATATCGTATATAAGGTGCCGTTAAATTGGAGCTGTGCAAAGACCTGGACCAGCATAGACAGTTTTCTGTCATAGGCTGTAGCATCCATTACGAACTTCAAATACCACATTTCAAACAATTTCGGTGGGTATTGTACCTAAAATCGTCAAAATACCGAATATGGGGAGGTACTGATATATGGGGCCTATACGAAGACCTGGACCCGCACAGACAATTTTCTGTCACAGACTGTAGTATTCATTACGAACTTCAAATACCAATTTTCAAACAATTCCGGTGAATAATGTCGCTAAAATCATCAAAATACCGAATATAGGGAGGTACCGTTATAGGGGGGCTATACGAAGACGTAGACCTGCACAGACAATTTTCTGTCTTAGGGTGTAGTATCCATTTTGAGCTTCAAGTACCAAATTTGAAACAATTCGCGTGAATAATGTCGTTAAAATTACCAAAATACCGAATATCAGGAGGTACCGTTATATGGGGGCTATACGAAAAAATGGACTTGCACAGACAATTTTCTATCTTAGACTGTAGTATTCATTACGAACTTCAAATACCAATTTTCAAACAATTCCGGTGAATAATGTCGCTAAAATCATCAAAATACCGAATATAGGGAGGTACTGATATACGGGGCCTATACGAAGACCTGGACCCGCACAGACAATTTTCTGGCACAGACTGTAGTTCCTATAACGAACTTCAAATACCAAATTTGAAACAATTCGCGTGAATAATGTCGTTAAAATCATCAAAATACCGAATATAGGGAGGTACCGTTATATGGGGGCTATATGAGAACGTGGACCTACATGGCCCATTTACGAACTTAACCTGCCTACTGGAAAAATAAACATGTGTGCAAATTTTTAGCCATCTATCTCAATTCGTTCGAAAGATAGCGCGATTACAACAGACAGACGGACAGACAGACAGACGGACAGACAGACAGCCGGACATCGCTAAATCGACTCAGAATTTTACGCTGATCAAGAATATATATACTTTGTTGGGTCTGACATGAGTATTTCGAGGAGTTACAAACGGAATGACAAAGTTAATATACCCTCCATAGTATGGTGGAGGGTATAAAAATCAATTGTTGTTCGTTGGTAATGGAATCAGTTGGTTATACCCCAATTTAGGTTTTTAAAGAAAAAAATATTGACCGCGCCTACTTTTACGCCCATTTCGATTCATCTAAAATCCTTATATTTGCCAAAATAATGAAGATATCGGTTTGAAAATTATCACACGAGATACTGTTGACTTTATATCCAACACTACCTATTTATTTGGGGGCTAAGGAACTGACCACGCCTACTTTTTAAAAAATACAACTGACAAATCATATATCGTTAGTTGGTCGGAATCGGCAGCACCTTTTTTATATTATTTTTACGAATGTTTGTCATACTCAGAATTAGATATATATCCCATATATATTTTACGATTTTATGTATTTGATGCACCAAACGCTGTGTATCTCCAATTTCAATTAAATTGAAAAAGTGTAACGGATTTTGGTAAAACAAGTAAAAACGCTGTAAGTTCGGCCTGGCCGAACTTCAGCAGTTGGAACAAATTTTCAAAAAAAAAAAAAAATACATAAATGAACAAATAAATAATATCCGTTAAAAATTTTATTAAAAATCTTAAAAATATCGAATGTAGCCGTTATATTAGGGTCGACGACATGGACCTGCATTATAAAAATCATCAAAACACAAAATATAGGAAGGTACTATTATATGGAGGCTATACCAAAATGTGGATCTGCATACGGGGCCTATACGAAGACCTGGACCCGCACAGACAATTTTCTGGCACAGACTGTAGTTCCTATAACGAACTTCAAATACCAAATTTGAAACAATTCGCGTGAATAATGTCGTTAAAATCATCAAAATACCGAATATAGGGAGGTACCGTTATATGGGGGCTATATGAGAACGTGGACCTACATGGCCCATTTACGAACTTAACCTGCCTACTGGAAAAATAAACATGTGTGCAAATTTTTAGCCATCTATCTCAATTCATTCGAAAGATAGCGTGATTATACCAGACAGACAGACGGACAGACAGACAGACAGACGGACAGCCGGACATCGCTAAATCGACTTAGAATTTTACGCTGATCAAGAATATATATACTTTGTTGGGTCTGACATGAGTATTTCGAGGAGTTACAAACGGAATGACAAAGTTAATATACCCTCCATAGTATGGTGGAGGGTATAAAAATCAATTGTTGTTCGTTGGTAATGGAATCAGTTGGTTATACCCCAATTTAGGTTTTTAAAGAAAAAAATATTGACCGCGCCTACTTTTACGCCCATTTCGATTCATCTAAAATCCTTATATTTGCCAAAATAATGAAGATATCGGTTTGAAAATTATCACACGAGATACTGTTGACTTTATATCCAACACTACCTATTTATTTGGGGGCTAAGGAACTGACCACGCCTACTTTTTAAAAAATACAACTGACAAATCATATATCGTTAGTTGGTCGGAATCGGCAGCACCTTTTTTATATTTTTTTTACGAATGTTCGTCATACTCAGAATTATATATATATCCCATATATATTTTACGATTTTATGTATTTGATGCACCAAACGCTGTGTATCTCCAATTTCAATTAAATTGAAAAAGTGTAACGGATTTTGGTAAAACAAGTAAAAACGCTGTAAGTTCGGCCTGGCCGAACTTCAGCAGTTGGAACAAATTTTCAAAAAAAAAAAAAAAAAAAAAATACATAAATGAACAAATAAATAATATCCGTTAAAAATTTTATTAAAAATCTTAAAAATATCGAATGTAGCCGTTATATTAGGGTCGACGACATGGACCTGCATTATAAAAATCATCAAAACACAAAATATAGGAAGGTACTATTATATGGAGGCTATACCAAAATGTGGATCTGCATAGAGAATTTTCTATCATAGGCTGTAGTATCCATTACGGACTTCAAATACCAAATTTGAAGCAATTTCGGTGAATAATGTCGCTAAAATCATCAAAATATTAAATATTGGGAGATGCCGTTATATGTGGACTATACGATAACGTGGACCTGCACAGAAAATTGTCCGTCATAGGCTTTAGTATCCACTACGAACTTTAAATACCAAATTTAAACCAATTCCGGTGATTAATGTCGCTAAAATCATCAAAATATCGATAATCGGGAAGTACCGCTATATGGGGGTTATACAAAGATGTGAACCTGCACAGACAATTTTCTGTCTTAGGCTGTAGTATCTATTACGAACTTCTAGTATGAATTTTGAAACAATTCCGGTGAATAATGCGCTAAAATCATCAAAATACCGAATATCGGAGGGTACCGTAATATGAGGGGTATACGAAGACGTTTGACTCCACAGACAATTTTCTGGCTTTGGCTGTAGTATCTATTACGAACTTATAGTATGAAATTTGAAACAATTCTGGTGAATAATGTCGCTGAAATCATCAAAATACCGAATGTTGGGAGGTGCCGTTATATGGGGGACATACCAAAACGTGGACCTACATGGCCCATTTTCAATACCAAAAGTCTTGCAGAAAACCCACTTCATTCCGTTCGGAAGCTATAGTGGTTTTCACAGACGGACAGACATCGCTAGATCGACATAAAATTTTATGCTGATCAAGAATATATGTGCTTTGTGGGGAGTAAAATGTATATTTCGAGGTGTTACAAACGGAATGACAAATTTAATATACCATCCATACTACTGTGGAGGGTATAGAATTCCCAAATCATATTTGTACATACAAGTTTATTTATATTTTTCAATACACAAATACTTACATTATGCCGCCATTCAATACGATAGACCGGCGGCTCTGCCTCGACCAGGCAATCAAAATATACATCAGATCCTTCCCTGATCGCGTTAGGATCCAAAGATGTCCCCAGCTGAACGTAGGCTTGTGGAGCATCTAAAATGAAAAAGTAAATTACAAAAAAGTGGATTCTATAATTAAACTGTAAAAACTTTTAATAGTGTTGCGACCAATAAAACCAAAATTAAAAAAAAGAAAAAAAAACAATTAAAGAAATTAAGTACGCTGGTACCGAAATTACCATTTCCATTTGGAACGAATTTGGCAATTTTCAAAAAATAAAATTAATAAATAAATAAAATCCGTTAAAAATTCTGTTAAAATCTTAAAAATGCCGAATGTAGCCGTCATATTAGGGTCTAAATGACGACGTGGGCATGCAAATGCAAAATTAAAAAAAAAATCGGCGAATGATGTAGCTATAATCATCAATATAGGGAGGTAGTGTTATAAGGAGGCTATACGAAAATGTGGACTTGCACAGACAACTTTCTGTCTTAGGCTGTAGTATCCAGTACGAACTTCAAATACCAATTCCGGTGAGCAATGTCGCTAAATCAGCAAAATACGTAATATTGGGATGTACCGTTATATGGGGGCTATACGAAGATGTATGCCTGCACAGACAATTTTCTGTCCTAGGCTGTAATATCCATTACGAACTTCAAATACCAACTTTGAAACTATTCCGGTGAGTAATGTTGCTAAAATCATCACAATACCCAACATAGGCTGTAGTATCCAGTACGAACTTCAAATACCAATTCCGGTGAGCAATGTCGCTAAATCAGCAAAATACGTAATATTGGGATGTACCGTTATATGGGGGCTATACGAAGATGTATGCCTGCACAGACAATTTTCTGTCCTAGGCTGTAATATAGATTACGAACTTCAAATACCAACTTTGAAACTATTCCGGTGAGTAATGTTGCTAAAATCATCACAATACCCAACATAGGGAGGTACTATTATATGAGGGCTATACCAAAACGTGGACCTGTAGAGACAATTTTCTGTCTTAGGCAGTAGTATCCAGTACAAACTTCAAATACCGATTCCGGTGAGTAATGTCGCTAAAATCATCAAAATTCGGAATATTGGAAGGCACCGTTAAATTGGGGTTATACGAAGATGTAGACCGGCACAGACAATTTTCCGTTTTAGGCTCTAACATTCATTACAAACTTAAAATACCAAATTTAAATCAAATTCGTTGAGAAATGTCGCTAAAATCTCCAAAATACCGAATATCGGGAGGTACGGTTATATGGGGGCTATACCAAAACGTGGACCTACATGGCCCATTTTCAATACCAAAAGTCCTGAGACAAATTTTATAAATGAACTTCATTTCGTTCGGGAGTTAGAGTGATTTGCACAGACGGATATCGCTAAGTCGACAAAGAACTTTATGCTGATCAAGAATATAATACTTTGTGGGTTCTAAAATGTATATATCGAGATGTTACAAACGGAATGACAAAGTTACCGACAAAAATCGATGAGATTAAAATTCTTATAATTTCTGCAATTAACGAAAAAATTCGTAAAGTTAGGGGCTAAAATGAAGTAGTCGCTAAGTTCTACTGATAGCAATAGTGCTGCAAACTGTAATTTAAGCTTTATGTTCATAGTTTTGTATGTAAATTCTATCGACATTTGTTCGTAACTCAAAAAAATAGCCAGTTGTGTTGTTAGGATGATCGTTTTTATGCTTGCATGTCTGCCGCAAATCTTTCACTAGCATGGTTTGTTATGCTTCTTATTGTTGAAGTTTGCAATGCAATGCTGCAAAAATTCTAGATAATACTTCAATCGGACTCCTTTGAGGCATTTCGTTGCTTCATAGTCCCATTTTTATAACCTTCACCATTCTATGGAGGATATATTAACTTTGTCATTCTTTTTTGTAACTCCTCGAAATGTTTATAATATACCCTAAAAATTATATATACATTCTGGATCAGCGTAAAATTTTAAGACGATCTAGCGATGACCGTCTGTCTGTTATAATCACGGTATCTTTCGAACGAATTGAGATAGAAGGTCGATTTTTTGTTATCATTTCACGATTTAAGCAACAGTATTTACCGTAATTATTTCAAGTTTCATGTTAAAAATTCGTAATGGGAGCTACAGGCTATGACAAACATTTGTGTATGCAGGTTCACGTCTTCGTATGGCCCTTTTATGACCGTACCTCCCAATACTCGGTATTTTTATGATTATTCACCGGAATTGTTTCAAATTAGGTATTTGAAGTTCGTAGTGAGTACTACAGCCAATGACAAAAAATTTCGTAAGTAGATCCACGTCTTCGCATAGTCTCCATATAACAGTTTTCATTTAGGTGGTAGTTTCCGGAAGGTTTTTGAACATTTTAAAGTTCCTTCCTTCAAGTATTAAAAGTTCGTCCCGGCCGAACTTTGCTTCTTTATTACTTGTTTTCATTATGTTTATACAAAACGTATTAAAATATAATTGGTAAAACTATTTGATATTAATTGTGTATCTAAATTAATAAAGATCTTTTAAATACAAACGATATAAAAGAATTGACAAAACATGCCGCGCATAAAAAAGTATTGCCATCCAATTATAATCCTGCGGTATTTCCAAAGCTGTGTCTGCTGTAATTAGGGTCATCAATAGAAGTTGGGATGTCCGAACCAAAAGATACGGCAGTATTTTGTTACTCTTGTTGAGTTTAAACGTATCAAATCATCGCCAGTTACAAAGACTGCGGATTTCTTACGTTTCGCAAATCGTCAAAAAATTGAAAATTATTGAATTTCTTTTCAAAGTCTTGAAGCTTTAAAAATGCTTCGTCCAAAACCATCTTAATAGCAGCCAAGCCAATTTTAGACTCTTTGAAATTACTAAATGAAATGGAGACTATTTATAAGTTAACACTGTCACCTCTACAATCAGAGGGGAAGAACAAGCAGTATAAAAAACAAATAGTTATTCCCCTTACTTCCAACAATGACCACAATATATTTCACAACATCAAACACAAACACTATTGGTCTTTTTTGTGTGTCGCGAAAAATGATATTCTTCACGAGGCGCAAGACAAGCATATTTTATTAACCCAGACATTTGACAACATAAAATCATCCAGACGTTGCTAGCATATTTGTGTAAACAAAATAAAAACAATATTTTGCACGAGGCGCAAGATCAGCAATACTCAAACGTCGACTGCGACAACGGTCGGATGGTGACGCAAGATCAGCAGTGCCCAAACGTCGACTGCGACAACGGTCTGATGGTGAAGTAGCAAAACAAATGTGATGTACGGAAATTTTTAGTTTAACAACTCCATACTAATAGAACGGTTCAGGCGAGTCGCCGAATCCGATATAAATATAAGAATTTAAATTAATAAACATAAGTTTTTAAATAAACAATTATCATAATTCTTAACTGGCGTCCAACGTGGGGCAAGTGTAAAACAATTTTTTAACATGATATAAAATCATTTAAAAAATATTGCAATATTAAATAAAGAATAAATATTAAAAGTCACCAAAGTATCCGAAAACTTTGGGCAGCGAGAAAGTGATAAGGTTAAAAAGAAGCCTATTAAAAAACTTTGGGAATTGAGCAATAAGGACACCCACCAGGACGAGAAGCCGGAGGACTAATCTCTTTATATAAAATACCAGAAACAACATTGAAATACCTGTAAGTAGAGTGCTTATTTACTCAAGTGTAAAGAAATGTCTTGCGAACTTTTTATGTGATTTTATTGAAATAAAATAAATTCGATTCCTGTTTAATTTTTTTTGTAAATTTTGCAAGAATTTCTTACATGATAACTGTTAAATGTTTTTGCGAATTTTCTGTGTTTTAATTGAAATAAAATAAATTTGAAGGGTTTCATAAACGATATCTGTTTAAATTTTTTTGTAAAATTTCGAAGAGTTTCATACATGGTGCCCGTTTCAAGATTTTTACGAATTTTCTGCCTTATTCCTGAAACATATGAATGATAAAGAAATAGACAAGGTCGATGGGGTCTTTAATAGAATAACCGTGGAGAAAAGACGCGAAAGTGAAAGATTGAATATCGGAAATTGGTGGGAAGCGGATTTTAATATGGCAATAACACCAGACCAGCTTAAGGCGATTGTCGATACCGCAATCAATGCAGCATTAAGAGTTCAGAAGCAGAGTTTTGAAAAACAGATTGAGGATTTAGTTAAACGAGTTGATAGCACTTCGGTCAGGGCTCCTGAAATCGAGACATTTAGGGAAATTCAAATTAGACCCGGAACAACATGCGACGAGTCGTTAGATGTTGTTAAGTCCCTACCGGATTTTGAGGGGAAGCCCGAACAGTATGTCTCATGGCGCCAGGCAGCCCACACGGCCTATAACATTTTTGAGAATTTTGATGGAAGTTCTAAGTATTACATGACAGTTGCGATTATCAGGAACAAAGTGAAAGGTCCAGCTGATATGGTCCTTTCATCGTTCAACACAGTCCTTAACTTTAAGGCGATCATTGCTCGCCTTGATTTTACGTATTCGGATAAACGTCCGGTCTACCTAGTAGAGCAGGAACTTTCTACTCTGCGCCAGGGAAATTTAACCCTTTTGGAGTTCTATGGAGAAGTGGAAAGGTAAATAAAACGATTATGACTTATAGTGGTAAAATAGCGTCTTCCATAAACGAAAAATATAGGATGGATGCACTTCGAGTTTTTATATCTGACACAAGGAAGGGTCTAAGCGATGTCCTTTTTTCTGCAAGACCCTCTGATCTGCCTTCAGCCCTTGCCTTGTCACAGGAGGTCGAATCAAATCATCAACGTTGCCAATTCGCTACCAACTATGCAAGGTCCCTTGAAGAAAATAGGAAAAAGAGGGGCGATATAATTCGGGACGACGGTAATGTCTTAGCAAGTCATGAAGCTAGAGGCGCGCCATTCGAAATATGAGAAATCATGGGTTTACAAATCGACAACAAAAATATGATACTGCTGAGCCAATGGAAGTCTACTCATCATCCCGGTTTAGGCAAACAAATAAATTTCAACCAGTACATAGCGCTAACACACAAAGCCAGCTGCAATACGGTGGTC